AAAAAAAAAAAAAAAAAAAAAAAAAAAAAAAAAAAGAGAGGGGGAGGAGGAACGAACAGGAGGGACCCAACAAACCAAAAGGAAAACAGTATTTCAGTCTTTCATTTATCCTCTAAAAACAAGTCACATGGTAATGTGATGAGTCAATCATATCAGTCTATACGCTATGAAGGTAAAGATTTTACATATGACACAAAGGGTGTCCACTTGTGGGTAAATTTTTCTGAACTACCTTTCACTGTTAGTAAAATTTTTTCCATCTTCAAGAATGATCTTACAGTATTAAGCCATTGTGATGTGGATGGTGGTGTGGGAGATTTCCAGGCGAGTAAAATACAACGTCTGGCAAGGACAGAGCAAAAGGCCAAAACCTCCCCCTGCTGGCGGGATAGATTAAGTGTGGTCCCAGGAACTCCAAAAATAGCAATAAGTGGATCACTTTGAAACTGAATCTTAAAAACTCCTGAGAGTATGGAGAAAAAATATTTCCAAAACCCTTGCAGTTTTGGGCAGAAAAAGAACATATGACTTAAGTTGCAAGGTGAAGTCTGACATCTATCACACTGGTCTGGTATTGAGGGGAACATTTTAGATAAACGTGTTTTTGAGAAGTGTACTCTATTTATTACTTTAAATTGTATTAACTGTAGTCTGGCACATGGTGTACTCTGACGTATGCTGAGAATAACTTTATCCCACCATGAATCTGATAGTTTAACACCCAGTTCACGTTCCCATGCAGTTCTAGTTTTACCCGATGAATCGGCCTCTATTGCCATAAGTTTTCCATAAATAATTGAAAGAGGAGATTTCAAATTGGGGCTCAAAACTAAGAGTTCAACCCATGGTGGGTCAGTAGGCAAAGTTAGAAAATTTTGAAACTGCGATGAAACGCAATGCCTAATTTGGAAGTAAAGAAACAAATGTGAAGTGGGTAGGTTAAATTTAGAAGACAATTCTGAAAAACTAAGAAATAAACCATCTTCGTACAGGTCTCTCATTGTTCTAATACCTTTCTCATACCAAATTCTATAGGCAGCATTATTAGATGCTGGAGAAAAAATGTGATTCTTTAGTAACGGCATTTTATTAGAGGGTGATACAAATTTAAAGTGGGACCTAAATTGTGACCAGATCCTGAGTGTTGAGAGCACTATAGGATTTGTAGTAACTGAGGATAATTTAATTGGTAATGATGAATAAATAATTGAAGCGGGCGAAAAAGATGCAGAAATCGACTGAATTTCAAGTTTACACCAAATCAGATCAGGTGAATTTAACCAATAAGTCAGTTTATGGATATGTGAGGACCAGTAATACATTGTAAAATTAGGTAGAGAAAGACCCCCGTTTGTGGTGAACTGTTGTAATAAAGAAAGTCTCATTCTGGGGGCCTTTCCGTTCCATAAAAAAGATGAGACCATCTGATCCAGGGACCTGAAGAACTGTTTGGGCAAGAACAGAGGGATATTTTGATATAAAAACAAAAGTCTAGGTAGCACATTCATTTTGATAATATTAATCCTACCAATCAATGAAAGAGGGAGAGAGTTCCATCTCTGTAAATCTGATGCAATTTGGGAAACTAGTGAGGCATAATTCTGAGAAAACATTGAGGGCAAAGTACGTGTAATATTAATTCCTAAATACCAAAATCCCGAGGGACTGAGCCTAAAAGGGATATCAGAAGGCTTAAGCTTTAAAGCTAATGAATTCACTGGATAGCATTCACTTTTAAGTGAGTTAATTTTATAGCCAGAATATGATCCAAATTTTTCTAGAATATTTAAAATTGGGGGAAGACTCCGTAAAGGGTCAGAGACATACAGGAGAAGGTCATCTGCATATAAGGACAATTTAAGCTCGACACCAGAGCGGACGATTCCATGAAAAGAAGAAAGGGATCTTAGAGCAACGGATAGGGGTTCAATGGCTAACGCAAACAAGAGGGGAGAAAGAGGGCAACCCTGTCTAGTACCACGTCCCACCGTAAAATAATCAGATTGGACGGAATTACTGAGAATACATGCTTGAGGGGATGTATAAAGTAGCTTGATCCAAGACACAAACCTCTCTCCAAAACCAAACCCATTAAGAACAGCAAAGAGATATTCCCATTCCACTCGATCAAAAGCTTTCTCGGCATCAAGAGAAATTATCACTTCAGGAGATTTAGAGGAATGAGTTGAAAAAATTGTATTCAACAGTGTACGAGTATTAAAAAACAACTGGCGACCTTTAATGAATCCATTCTGTTCTTGTGAAATAATCCGAGGGAGAACTGTCTCAAGCCGAGTCGCGAGTAC